TTTGGGAAATTTTTTGGAGGCTCATCCACACTTACCCACTGAGCAGAACGCTTCCTGTTATCATACAGGATCCATTTCTCATCACACGTTACAATACGATGGAGAAAAGGCTCAACATCATTACTTCTCAACAGCGAACTTGAAACTTCTGAGCGCTTCAATTGTTGCTGCTCCGTGAGTTCGTGCGGCACCCACTTTCCAAGCTTCTTCACCATTCCAAGCTGCTTGAGGAGGGCAGCGAGAAGTGTGTGGGAGACAACCATCTTCTTGGCAATCTCCCTCAAAGGTTGACGTCGATCATCTTCGACTGCTCTTAGCAAAACATCGTGATCAACTAACGATGGTCGACCAACTCGCTCTTCGTCTTTCAGTGACTCGTCTCCACTTCGACACTTCTGAAACCAGCGACAAACCGTTCGCTCCGCCGCAGTGCCTTCTCCCCACGTAACATTGATGTTTGTAGCTGCCTCCATCGCAGTTCGACCAAGTTCGAACTCGTGAAGTAAAACCATTTAAAAAGTAGTCTTATCTATTCTGCCGAGAAAAACCTCCTGAAAATTCCAAAACCTTACAGATTCTGGGGAAAGCGCTATGACAGAAAGAGCAACTAATGACTTGCCTAAGGAGCACAATATGACCATTAACCTGTATGAACATCCGCCAAAATTTTAATTCATATGGCACATACGTGGGAACGGCCAGAACTTTCCTTACAACCTAATACACGCGCCCAGTGGTATCAAATTCTTCATGAACACAATCACAATAAGAGTTTCATTTTTCATTGGTTGTTCACACTCCTCCAGAATAACAGAAGGCTTTTCAGTTACAAACCTTGACCGCTTCACAAGAAAACTGAAGTCGTTTCCGATTGCAGCACTTGGTCGAACCGTCTAAGCATACTCTTTCCTTGAATTAATAACACCTCTAATCTAACCAATCAAGAGAGGAGAATTATTTTTAGATCATCAAACACCTTTGAAACCGTGTAGTCGTCGGGAAACCAACCGAGCATCTGAAAGTTGCTATGAAATGAACCACTTTAATGAACTTCGACATGGTTTGGAAACATGACGACCCACCCTTGTAAGGCGAAGCATGATGCACGGTTCCCCACTGCTGAATCCCATTCCTCTGTCTATATTTCGCCTAAACAAGAACAAACCGATCGTACGTATGCATAATGAATATGTACGCTTATGTCAGCCGACCTGGTCAAAGCACAGGCTCCATAGAGCTCAGAACTACCAGCTTCCACACTGCAGACAGATCGATTCGTAGGAGCTCCATCAGAAGCTCCTGCTATGTTCGCGCACTTTGGTTTTGATAGTTGTGTGTTATTGTATTCACCTAAAAGCAAAGAGGTTTGTGTTGTGCTGAGAAGATTCTTTGTCATCGCCCATCTCAATCACAACAAGCACCAACCGTCTAGCACCAAACCATACCGCACCATATAATTATAGTAGCTCTGTGGAATGGCCGACTGAAACTGAATCACACCCTTCGTTCCTACATCGAAACGGTTGGGATTCGGTTCGAAGATTAGGCCTGAAACTGAAGGATTTCCCTACTCTATTTTCAACATTTCCCATTCTGGAAACAAGCAGCCCTAAACTTCGTGCTTTACGTAACATAGTACCATCAAAAACAGCCTTTTTTCATTGCAAACTGTTTTACTACATTTTCATTTCTCATTTCCTCCTGAACCGGGCAACTATCCTTATTTTTGCAGCAGATTTGACTGCCGCTATAGTCCATAGACATTTTGAATGTGAAAAAAACACGCTGCGTCGAGACCATGAAGTTTTCTTCGCTGGTTGTCATTCATATCATCGAGACAAGAGAAGGAGTACTCATTCGGCCAATCGCATAGAAAGATGTTTGTTCACCGACCATCATTTCGTTTTCCCGCCCTTCCATCCCCTACTCCACAGGCTCCGCTTCACTATATTGAAAGTCTATATAGTAGCAATACGGTGACCAGACTTTCGGCTTTTTTAGAAGACTGCTCTCGAAACCTTGTTATGGTAGCGTTTCATTAATTTCGACTTATTCCGGAAAGCATGATGAAAAAGAGCGAACGAACCCGGAATTCCTCCAATATGAGAACCTCTTCCGAAATAATGCGGTCTTTCTTCGAGTTGAATAAGCAAAATATGCATAATCAAAGCGGTAAATAAGAATCCAAACATCCACAGTATGCCAAGGTAAATGAAGGACATCGCTGAATGGAAAATGTTCAATAGTGATGTTGTTGATCAAAGGAGGTGCACCTAAATGCGCTTCAGTGTTTCATCATTCATCATTTTGGAGGGAAATTTTGAGAAATTTGAGTGCTGCCCCATGAGGAAGTTGGGCCAGCTCACAATTAGGCAGCGAATTCAGTATGGACAAGACACTCGTCGAGCAATGAGGTGTCTAACCGCTAAGCATGTCTGAAGCAAAACCTGTCGAATTCCTTACTAACTCCTTTCTGGAGTGCAACGCCAGGAACATCAGAACTGTTAACAGCGGTTATTGAAAACTTAGCGAGCTTTCGACTTTCGACTACATCTATCTTCAACAAACTAAACCAAAAATTCGAGACTCACCCCATCCTTTAGGTCCCTTCTTGAACTCAGAACCGTCACTTTTCTTAGGGCCTTCAATTGAGACTTCATCGAAGGCTCTGGAAAAAGTTTATTTGAAGACACATTTAATCGTAGGAGAGCGTGAATGCTAGACCAAGTGTCAAGGGATCTTTTGATGAAGAAGAAACATAATAAGCAACCAGTCAAGCGCTCAGCATGAACGAACTCAGGAGCGAGGACGTAACTGCATTTGATGTTGAGAACTCCAACATAGAAGCTCTATTTGTGATACAGCTATCTCCGGTATTGTACGAAGTGATAGGAAAGAGATTGCAGAAGCACACGCACCGTGTTATTGAACACGACATACATGGTGGCATTACCCTCTCTCGTATCTCATGTTGCAAGTGTGGAGCTGCTTATGTCCTGCACATAGGTCCAACCAAAATCTTGGGTTCGGGTGAATGGGAGGCAATCGTGGTTGCGATCCGTGCTCCTTTTCCACTCTGTGATAGCTTGACTAGCCACCCGGAATCCACCCAGCTTCCATGTTAGAATTGCTATTGCTCAAAAGGAGAAGGACCATGATGGCGATCTGTGCACAGTGCACGAGCGCTTGCATCGGAAGTGTGCGTCGAAGACCTGTAAACGCAAGCTAGGAAGTCAAGCACGACGTCATTGTTTTTTGGGTCATGCGACAGCAGAAGCGTCGATAGTGTAGAATTGCTCGCCAACATCCACATGGCGAAGAGCATCAGCATGCGGAAGCTTGACTACCCTAATGGGTCGTTTGTGACCAACAAGGGAAGGATACTTGCTCACAGTGGCCAATGAAGATGTGTTGTATACCGCCGTAGGTGGTTCCAAACGCTGATCTCAAATCTGTGTTCCAAATCTGCGAAACGATTCTAGGAACGAAGTGACGGGAAATTTCATCCTGTGTTATACCACTACAATGAACAGATCACCGAGCCGAGCAAATCCCTCTACCTGTGCAACGGTGGCCCAGCGGCTAGTGTGGTGGACGGTAGGCATGACATCGAAGTTCGATTCCTTGATGCATGCGCTCGTTCTGCTTTGTCATGAAATGGGACCTAAACACTTTCAAAATGTTTTTGGGCTCAATATTGGCAATCTAAGGAGCTAACTAACATTCTGGGATTCCGGAGAACAGGGAACCAATGAAAATTTCTTTTACCTATACTGACTAAATAATTATATACGCCTCTACCCCGAACAGCCAAGATGGTGTTTTGAAATCCTCGGCATCTCAATGCGCTTACGGTAGACGGTGGTCGAATGACTCATCCGACCACAGCCCTCTTTGCAGTGGTATAATACAGGGAGGAATTGGTCCTCTGTAACTTGTAACTCTGTTGCTCCCAGAATCGTTTCGCAGATTTGGAGCACAGATTTGAGACCAGCGTTTGGAACCACCTACGGATGTATACATTGCATCTTGAATCGCCACTGCGACCAATATCTTTTCCTTGTAAGTAGTAAGGCTCAAATTCTGTAGCTCCTACAGTCACAGTTGCCTTCACACTAACATCAATCTACGAATAAGAAAAGCTGTAGGTGTCAATGGATTTGGAACGACTCTTTAGAGAGGATCGCACTTTCTCTACGCTCATCGTCGGTGATTTCAACGCCAAGATCGACTCCAAAAGAACGGCCGAAGAGCTACATGTCGGGACCACCAACGGAATGGAATAAGAAGGGTGAAAAACGTTCCCAGTTGATCATGGCAGCCCAGACTATCCAGGGTAATTTGCAGTTCTAGAAGCTCATTTGTTACAGACATGGGAATCATCTTGAGGACAGTTCCATAGCGGAATAGATCACATCGTCTTTGATTGAAGGATTTGCCTGACTGGCGTCGCCTTGTTCCGAAGTTCTATGCGGAATCGGACCATCGTCTCCTCTGTGCCAGATTCTGCTTTTTAGTGGGTGCAGGGAAAGCCGCAAGAGGACGAAGTCTTGAGACCTTCATCTACTAGGACTATCGCTTCCTTGTGTGTCTGTCTGTGTAAAGATTCTGTTATCGACAACATCGATGAAGAATATAACCGGCTGGTTCGGAAATCTCCGCGTTTAGGCTGGGAAAGGGGCGAAACTACACTACGCGAGGCCCGCCGTAACTTTATCAACTAACTTCCTCGTCCTGACGGAACAGTTACAGCATCTCGAAAGGCAATAAAGAAGGTCATTAACAACCTCTACTCTGATCCCCTCGACAGCCGCGTCCACCTGCCAACCTACCATGTGAGTAAGACGGATATGTTGCTCTTCCGGTGGAAATTCGATATGTCATCACGTCGATGAAGCATAATATAGCGCTCGGTCCCGACAGTATTAAACCAGAACATATAAAGGGTCTTCCACCTGCACCTGCAGTCGCCAAAACTCTGGTCAAGCTCGTAAGGTGCCTTTCGGAAGGAATAGTGCCCACGTCGCGAAAAACTAGCAAATCTGTGTTGCTGTAGAAGAATGGATAGCCCGAAAATATTAGCAACTATCGCACTTTTGCCTGCCGTTTGCAATCTTCGAACTTTTCACACGCTTCATCCTCCACAGAACTGGCAGAATATTAGATGAAGGACAATCATGCGGACAAGAAGGCTATGGTTCAGTACAATCGATCACTTCCACACTGTTAAAAGACCCATTGAAGGAAGGAGAGGATACAGGATGCCGTTTTGTCTGACGTTCATCGATTTGGAGAAGGTTTCTGCTACCAGATAGATAGAGAAAGAAAGGCAGTGGATGCTTCCAGTAACCAGGGTGCCCTTGCTCTATAAATATGATGATTCGAGAGCGCTACGACAACTCCGCGACCAGTATTTCGCCAATCTATGAGGAATTCATTGTCAACATGAAGAAAGTGGTTGAAAAGAGCAATACCATTTCGCCCGAACTTCTCATTGCCACTCTCAAGAAATTCATGCTCAACGGCATTACGGAAAACATAGCGGTGAAGGTAGGCGGCCCCTAGTAACATCACTCCGCTTTACAGACGACATGGCGCTTATAAAACCGAACATCAAACGGGCGGAACGGATGCTGGCCGAATTTGACAACGCTCGCGGGGAGATCGGCCTAAGACGGAAGCGACGTTCATGCGGAACAGTTCAATATCTGATGCTCCCTTTAGGTTGGAAGGAACCAGTATCCCCGAGTGCTTTAGTTACGTGTGTCTAAGCCGAGAACTCAAGATTATGAAGGACGCAGCGTTCCTGAGCAGAAGGAAACGCGCTGCGGGGGAGCAATTGAGAATCATTGAGGGAGCAGTCAGAAAAGTAAAAAAGATCCGGCTCAGACACTAAACTTTCGACAGTGCGGTCCTTCATACTTGACATATGCCGGACTTACGGTGGCAGGATCAGCATACAGTCAGCGTCGCTCAACACGTTTTGAAAAGGACAACGCTGAGAATCTCCCTAAAGTTCGCGAATGCAGTAAGGAATGCGGATATCAAGGTCCGTTTTCAAACGAAGATCGGGATGCCGTAGCATATGCCAAAACATCGAAGATCAGATGGGCCTGACCTCTTATGGATACTGCGATGGCAGCGCTCTTTGACTGGATCCCTCTCGACGTCAAATGAATACCTGGCCAACGCGATTACCAGACTCCTTCATGGAAGCCCTGAATGAAAAGAATGCTGCATAGTGTGCCTCGTGTCCTTCATGCAAGAACGATCCACTGGCCCACAGTGGCTCGCGAACGAACGACACAGGGACGAATAAAGGCTGGCACCTTCTCAAGGTAATCGATGATTACCATGAGACGGCATTATACAGGTGATGAATGGTTGTCTAAAAAATCCTGCGACACTTGGAATTTGAAGATCGTTGACTATTCGAAAGCGAATAGCGCCCAATTTTGATCTACGGTAAGGTAGACCTCACCTTGCGGGTATTGCGAAATATTATAAAAAGGCTTCTTCTCTCACGGAAAAACAGTTGTGGATCCAATCCGAGTATCCTTCGACCCATCGTGTATTATGAATTCCTACAAGGACATTCCGCAAGAGAAGCCGCTAGTAACATCTGCGCTGCATTCAAGAAAGATTCGGTACACCGTTCCACTGTCAGTCGCTGGTGTCACCGCTTCGAGTCCGGAGCTATTTCTATCGAACGACAGGAACGTCCTGGA